GGGGGGGGGGGGGGCTAGAGGGTGCTGAGCTTACACACAGGAGAGTTAAAGAGTACTGAGCTCAGATACAGGGAGTTACAGGGTACTAGACTCAGCTCTGGGGTCTAGAGCATGATTTCGTTCACGTAAACGTGGTTCTACTATATTTCACTGTCCTCCTGAACACTCGCTGACCATTCCTGAACCACCCTGTACTTTTAAGTCGTCTGTAATCAGTCCTTCCCCGCAATCGTTTCGAAATGACCGTGTACTCGGTGCCTAACCTACAAACTCATCCATCAAGGCCTCGAAACTCGTCCACCGATTCAGCGCCGCGAAGCAGAAGGCCAGCGTGGCGCGGCTCGCGTGCGATACGTGCTATCTCGTAATCGCGTGTACAGGCTTTTGTAGCCTTGAAACATGCTGCGAAGTGCCGTCGGAGATAAGGACATTCGTGTTTGAATAAAATGAAAAAGCAGCGGGAACATCGACGCTGCCGGTCGGAGGGGTACCGGTAAACGGGAGGGTGGGGGGGGGGGCGAGGAAAAGGCCCCCCGTGGGGGGCGTGGGAGGGGAGGAAGCGGGGCCTCGGAGGTCTCGCGATGGGCGCGTGTCTGCGAGACACCCTGTTGTTAGGTCGCGGATGAAATTATGCGTTCACGGTTCCCTTTTTTCACCTCTAGATCACGATACGATCGTGAAGGCGAACAATTTACACGGTGAGAAAGAATCGTGTTCTTTACCACCGTTCGAGTGAGAGAAGACTTCGTATAAACAGTGTGCCGTCGAATGGGACTTGTAGCAGCTTGGTCTCGTGACTTTTTCATTGTTTACGTGGACCAGGTAGGTTTCTACGTCGCGTAATTTTTGTTCGTAAACACGATCGGTGTAATGGGACTTATTACGGGAAGTGTCTAGACGTAATTGGTCGAGTTGAGGCTGTCAATACGCTGAACTGTGTCTGTCGACTTTTTATCCGTCTCGAATAACAAAGTTTCCAAGTTTCTTAATTAATAAATTCCCGTTAAATCTTTCGTACGCCGCGACGCAAATATTCAGGATCGAGGCGAAACTGCGTGGCAATTTATTCAGCAACTGACGGCTCGAGAATAGCGTTGCCGTTGGATCCGTTACAACTAGAAATTAATTGCAGTGCTACCGTGTGGCGGTTATAACGTTTCAATAAACAGTACATAATGTAATACGCGTATCCAGTAGCTGTTGCAATCGAGCCCCGTTGAAAAAAAAATATATACATGTTTGCAACTTGTAACGTAACTCGTACAAATCGCGTCGTTCGCGGGGAAAAAATAGATTAGAATGAATACCGATCCAGGTATCGAATGATATTTTAGCTAATTAGCAACTGGATTCGTTTATCGTCCGCTTGAATATATCGCCTTATTTTCGTTGGATCGAGCTCGCCGTGGTATGCGGTTTAGAATGATATTTCGAACAAAACGTGAACGCTAAAGACTTGCTAACGGATTTGTACCGATTTCGTCATTTTTTTAGAGTGTGACTCACCGATGGGGAAGGGAAAGTCTTAGAGAGACGAGTAGAGTTTGAAAGCGAATAGAATTTACCTGGCGCGTTGACAGGTTATAGTTTACATAAATCTAGGGATCAATGATATTGCAATAATATCCTTGTAATGATGCCACTCCTGAACGGAATCAGAATGGACCAATCAGATACTAGCGCGAATCACGTGGATTTGGTTGCTCGAATATCTCGCTAGATGTAGCTAGGTCCGGGTGGCTGTTACTAACTTTGGGATTAATTCGTGGAAATAGTGATAATAGTGATATAAAATTCATGAAATGGACGGTAAACGGTATAAGGTAATTTTATAAATGGTGGCTCGGTGGAAAGTCAAAAGTTATTATGAGTATAGTGTGCTGGGAGCACGAAATAATTGCAAACTTGTTCGAGCCAATTATTTCGATCTAGTTCATAGGGTGTGTCAAGAATGTTAAAAATGCAGGGTGATTCATAAGTGGCGCAGGTGTCTGTAAACGATCATAGATACAGGATAATTATAAAATTAACGATCAAGGTAGAGAGCAGGTGAATTGCATATACAGGGAGACTCCAAAACAGAAAACATAGATTATAAAGGAGTTTTAAATTAATACAAAGTGACCCCAAATATTTCTTCAAAATGTACACAGATGACAAAATTGCAGAATTTTGTTCATCTTTGGTTTCGAGTCGGTATTCACTGCAACTAACAATAAGTGCAACGGGCGTTCATTATCGCCGCCTACCGATGATGCATGACGCGTACACTTGAATAGAAAAAACGCTCCAGCCGTCGCAATAAATTAGCCCGTGGCTGCGGCTAGGAATAATTAGCGTCTCATTATTTAGCATGCATTATGCGGGCTTATGAGGTTGTAAGTTACGCGCTAATGCCGCAAAGCGGCGTAACGTCTGTCTTTTATCTTGCAATTAACCATGAGGTCACTTGCCGAAATTCTCACAGCCATCGAGACGGTAAAATTGAAAGAAAAATGTTTGAAGAAGTTGGGCGTGGTTTAAATCAAAATTGAGCACATTTAGAGTCAAAT